AGGCGGATCTCTGTGAGTTCGAGGCCAGCCTGGGCTACCAAGTGAGTCCCAGGAAAGGCGCAAAGCTACACAGAGAAACCCTGTCTCGAAAAACAAAAAAATAAATAAATAAATAAATAAAAAAAAATAATAAAACAATTATTGTTATGCCTTTTTTTAAAGATTTATTTACTTAAATTGTTTTTTTATATTTCCTACATGTATGTATATGTATGATGTATGTCTGGTGCCTTCAGATGTTCAGAGAGTGTGTCTGATCCCTTGGAACTGTTGTTACAGATGGTTATGAACTGCCATGTGGGTGCTGGGAATCGAGCCTGGGTCCTTTACAAAAGTAGTAGGTGCTGTTAACTGCTCAGCTCTCTTCCACCCCAGCCATGTCTGCACAGGAGTGGCACTAACTGAGGTCCGTCTAGATCTCAGGTTTAAAGTCAGGTGTGTTTAGGAATGGAGAAGTAGAGGTTACCAAAATGCCCTGATTCTCAGCATATTGAGCTCCCTAGTGGATAGAACTCCCTTAAAGGATATGCATTGCTCCTTACACTGACAAGATCCCTGTACAGAGGTGCCCAAAGTGGTTCCAAGAGACTGATCTGCAATGCTGGAGGAAGTTTGAGGTTTTTAGTCTATAGAAGGCAGTCATCTTTGATCCCTGTAAGGAATGCATTCTAGACTACTCACACTCAGCCAGGTACTAAAATCCACAAATGCTTAGATTAGTTACATAAAATGTGTATTTGCTGGTAACCATGCATGCTCTGATGCTGAGGATGGACCCAGAGTACTTGTACTCTAGACAAGAGCTCTCTCACACTTTAAATATCTAAGTGACTTTTTTTTTTTTTTTTTTTTTTTTTGAGACAGAGTTTCTCTGTGTAGCCCTGGCTGTCCTGGAACTCCCTCTGTAGACCAGGCTGGTCTCGAACTCACAGAGATCTGCCTGCCTCTGCCTCTCGAGTGTTGGAACCACACACATCCTTACCACACACATTCTTGACACAAATTTGATTACTCTTGGACTGTTTAAAAATTGGGCACCCAAGGCTAGGCAGGTGTGGTGGTGCACACCTTTAATCCCAGCACTTGGGAGGCAGAGGCAGGTGGATCTGAGTTGGCTGTCAGCCTGGTCTAGAGTGAGTTCCAGGACAGCCAGGGCTGTGTAGGAGAGACTGTCTCGAAAGAAATAACAAGAGCCATTGCTTAGATGACATCAGACCCTGAGAGTTCAGAAACATTGGCCTGCAAGGTGACACTTTCCCCAGATGTTAGCTTTCTAAGGCTGGAATGGAGAGAAACTAAGGCTTCATCTCATGTCTCCTTTCTCTTTTTCCCCTCTCCTGTGGCAAACCACAGAAGAAGCGGATGGAAGGCTCCGGCTCTCTGGGCCTGGAGGAGACCGGGAGCAGGCGCATGCAGAACTTTGCCTTCAGTGGAGGACTCTACGGGGGCCTGCCCCCCACACATAGCGAAACAGGCTCCCAACCGCACGGCATCCATGGGACAGCACTCATCGGTGGCTTGCCCATGCCATACCCGAACCTCGCCCCTGACGTGGACTTGACTCCTGTTGTACCGTCGGCGGTGACCATAAACCCCACACCAAACCCTGCCGTCTATAACCCTGAAGCTGTAAATGAACCCAAGAAGAAGAAATACGCAAAAGAGGCTTGGCCGGGCAAGAAGCCCACACCTTCCTTACTGATTTGATATTTTTGGCTATGGAGAGGGTGGGATGGGTGGGGATGGGTGGAGGGCTGACTAGGGGAGCTAATGAACTAGGGAGAAAACTTTCCATTGTGCGGTATTGTCTTTCAGAAAGTCTCTGGGGTCCTAACCATGTACTATTGGGACTGGGGTGGAGCCAGAGTACCAGTTAGAGACCTGAGTCAGAACACTTGAAGTGTGGAGAAAGGCTTCCCAGGCCCCAAGAGACTGCCCTGGTGCTCTCCCTGTGCCGCCGCCTCCTAGGACCGTTTTCATACGAAGTCGCACACATAGATGGAATCCAGAGCTATGGAGGAGGCGGTAACCTCATTTAAATCCATTTCCCTTGTGAGTCCCAGGTAGCAAAATGGTTGCCATGGATCCCAGGTTGGTGGGCATTCTTCATTTAAACCAAGGTGTAAACTCAAGTGTTCTCTTTGGTCCGTGGTTTTGAGGTCCAGTAGTTAGGCCTTTCTCCTCTGTGACTTCTGCTGGAGTCAGACCATTTTGAGTTCCCCTTGTCAGTGGCCAGTGTCACAGGCAGGGGCTATGGGTTTTAACAGTGTTGTTGGACTAGACCTGTTTTCCTTGTCCACACTGAACACTCCACTTGCCTAGTTCTCATTTAGTCCGGTGCTGCCCTCATCGTGACATCACCTTTTGTGTGTGCCATGAGGCAGTTTCTTAAGAATATGACCACTTAGGGTGGCTTACGTTGAACAGGAAAAAACTGCTTTGCAAGGACCAGGTTTGTGTCAGGAGGACATGCTCAGCTGTTGGTTTGGAGGCTCCCCCACCCCCCACCCCCAGTGGAGAGTTCTGGTTATTCAGAGCTCCAGGCTAGACCTGGCTAACAGGAGACGAGGGAGGAGCCCTTGTCTGGGCTTTGTACAGACTTGTACATTTGTGTAATAGGCCTTTTCTGCTTTAGTGTAGCTTTTTACCTGTAACCTTTATTACATTGTAAATTAAATGTAACTTTTGTCATTTGGGTGCTGTCTGGAGTCTTGTTGCCAGGAGACACTTGTCAGGGGCGTGGCTGTTGTCCTGGGAGCTGGTGCTCTGCCCCTGTTAATTACCACAAATAAAAGTAGCCCCCATGTAGTTGCTGGGAATTGAACTCAGGACCTCTGGAAGAGTAGCCAGTGCTCTTAACCTCTGAGCCATCTAAATAAAAGTAGCCCCCGCCGGGCGGTGGTGGCGCACGCCTTTAATCCCAGCACTCGGGAGGCAGAGCCAGGCGGATCTCTGTGAGTTCGAGGCCAGCCTGGGCTACCAAGTGAGTTCCAGGAAAGGCGCAAAGCTACGCAGAGAAACCCTGTCTCGAAAAACCAAAAAAAAAAAAAAAAAAAGTAGCCCCCAAGGAATGTGACAATTCTCATTAGAGACTCCTCTTCAGACTGAGACCCCGAGGGTCAGGGTTCAAGAGGTGCTGTTGCAGTTGGTCAGAGTCCAGAACAGATGCTGTATGCTGACCAAGCAAGGGGTGTGGGCACGGGCAAGGCTGCTGGGTCCTGGAGTCTCAGTCACTGCAGAGACATAGGCTTTCTAGGCAGGGACCAAATTCCAGTCACACAGGTTGATGTGGGAAGCAGCGACAGCAGGACCAGGGCACAGAGGCGTCCTTGGCTGCATAATGAGTTCAGGGCCTGTCTGGGCAACTCAAAGGCCAGCAACAAAACCCATGGTTAAGAGGGTTGAACGTGCAGCAGAAGCAGCCTCTAGAGAAGAGATGGGGCACCATAGTCAGAAGGTTGGCATCTCCAGTCTGCACGGCGGAGTCCTGTCTCAGGAAGACCTTCACAGCAAAGTCTTAGGACTGCACTCATCCCCCAGGCCCTTCCTACATGCTGTGGAGCGACTCACAGCACTTTGGTCTGTCTTAAGGAGAGTCGGGCTCAGATAAATAACTTGTCCGTGAGCACCGTGGCACGGGAACTTCCAAGCACAGGTTACATGGCTGCTTGGACAGCGGACATGAAGAGATCTGAGTTGTCTATTGTCTCTCTGTTATGCCTGCTTGTGTCTCAGTGTTCTCCTGTTTTGAAGTTTTAAAATGTCCAGT